TTGCTTAGGAGGAATGAGTTCATTATGATCTATTTGGATCTACAAATTTCTGGGTGAAAAAATACAAGACCAAGAATTACCATACTTTACCACCCTAGTATGAGTTGATAACTTGTTGTAAACAATGATGAAAGTCGTAAATGACAGTTAGTATACTCCGACTATCATGTATTCAACCTTCCTACAGTCTTTGTATGTTCATACCATCATGGTACGCTTTCTTACCATATGGTATGCTTGGTGCTCCTATTCAGGGAGAGGTTACGGTGGATACTTAGTGGTAGTAACCACCGTGGTTACTAGGGATAAGAAGGGTATTTTGCTTCCATCCTAATTCAAACTACCATTTTAATTACGCAGTTAATTAGGGAGAGATAATTACGGTAACTAATTATTATGTAGTTTAATCAGCGTAGTGCTTTGTTAGTATCCTATTTTCGGCAGGAAAAGATTTCTGCCTTGTACACGTTATCATAGGGGAGACAAATAGCGATTGTTGACGGCGAACCATTGTCGACGGCGAACCATCACCGGACGTGGTAGAGGGTAGAAGGCTGGCAATGGAGGCGTTGTTCGGAGAAAGTCTTGTTTCTGGTGGCGAGGAAGAGGATACGGCAATGCAAAGCGACGGAGGTAAGAATCTAACACCGAGTCTAACACTGCACTATTGTATGCTTTTGCTTGAACAACAAAATATTAACATCACTTTTGGTCGGCAAACCCTTGCAAAAGGATCAGATATCGTCGGAGAACCAACCGTGGACGAAGGCGGCGCTTGTGACAATTCTGACGAAGGTGACGGTTTCCATGTCCATGTTGAGTGTGTGGATTGGATTGGTACTGTTACGTATTTGTTTTGGCGTAATGGTAGTCCTTATGTTGGTATATGTTGTATTGTTATTGGTAGTTCGTTCCACATTGGTATTGTTTCTTTCTTTAGTGTGAGCTACTGCAGTGGTAGTAATATTTTGACATATTTGCGTCAAATGGTAGTGAGTTGGTAGTGGTAGTCTGAGATACTGCAATGGTAGTGATGCATTGTTGTTTTTCAAATTGCAGATCAGGTGTACAAAGTTGTATCGAACGACAAATCGTCATGGCAGCATTTGAGATTTGACAATAGGGAAGCATTTGTCAAGTTCTACAGGGACGACGGTAAGCATCTAATCCCTATTCTAACTCATTCCTAATTGTATGCTTTCGCTGAACGGAAAAATCTTAACATCGTTTTTGTTGGCAACCTCCTTGACAGGGTTAGATATCGACCGAGATCCGACCGGTGACATAGGCGTCGGAGTGGACAATTCCGAAGGAGGTGGGAATGGAAGCTTCTGTATTGGTATTTGTTGGAATATTATTGGTTGTTCGATCATCATTGGTATTGGTATTTCCTATATTGGATTGGTATTGTGGCGTACTTTGTCGTTTCACATTGGTAGTGGTTCTATTAGTACTTGTATTACGTGGGTGCATGATGGTGGTGTGGTTTCCTATCAGTTGCTATGGTAGTGATTAGTAATTGCAATGATAGTTACTGCACTGTAGTTATCAGATACTGTAACGGTTAGGGGTGGCTATTTGGACCGGGACCGGATTAAAAAACGGAAACCGGACCGTATAACCCGGACCGAGACCGGACCGGGACCGGATAGTAAACAATCCAATCCAATCTTTGGGCTTAGATTTGAGGTAAAAAACCGGATAAGAGAGCTCAACACCCAAAACTTAAGGGTAATTTGCATAAACGGTCACAAACCTTTGCACTTAGTACAAAACTTAACCAACTCCTCACCCTTTAAGGCCTTAGGCCACTCAAATCCTACAATATCAATGTAAAATCAAAATCAAGACCGAATTGGGACCGGACCGGATCAAAACCGGACCGGATCAAGACCGGATTGTATCCAATCCAATCTTCGGTCCTTATATTTTCAAAAAGACCGGACTGGACCGGATCAATTTGGGCCAATTTGGACCGGATCAATTTAACCAGACCGGACCGTATAGCCACCCCTAGTAACGGTAGTGTTTTGTTTGTGGTAATATGACCTACTGCAATGGTAGTTATTCATTGTTTCTTGCTCTTTGAAGCCCCACGATTTGGGTTCTTGGTTCTTGCCACTACTAAAACCAAAAAAATGGAAGGTAGCAACATTAACCAATGTTAGTGATGTATGGAAACTGGAAAGGTAACCACCACCACTACTGGAACTGAACACTACCATACCACACAAAACTACTACCATTGCATAGAACACCACACTACTACTGGAACTGAACACTACCATTCCACACCAAACATCACAGGTATGCAGGTCACTACCAATGCGAGAAAAAAACCTACCATTCCAACTAAACACTATCATTCCACACCAAACATCACAATTCTGCAGATCACTACCAATTCATGAAAAGAAGCTACTATTCCAAACAACATGAAATCTACCATTCCAACTAAAAACTTCAATTCCACACCAAACTTCACAGGTCTGCAGATTACTACCAATGCATGGGAAGAACCTACCATTCAAAACAACCTAGAACCTATATCACTACCAAAATTGACCACTACCTTTGCAAACAACCTAATAGTATTCAATACCAAACGACCATATACCAATCCATGTCAAACAAACTATCACAATCGCACAGATACAAAAACGAGAATACCATTCCATAGAAAACAAAACTCAGATTAATACGATTTGAAGAACATGCAATATCTATACAATAAAGCGCGTTATTACAACACGTTTACAATACGATTTGAAGAACTCTCGCCGATCCCACAACAACGAAATAACCAGTTGCCGAAACGTCTCCCGCTGCGCCAGGGAGAGAACTTGCGGTGCCGGAGGGGCTCTGCGGAGACAATACAAAACCCTAGGAAATGAAAGGGAGACAACCTCGAGTGAATGAGAGACAACCTCACTGGTGCGCCGTGGAATGTGAGAGTGGGAAAATCCTAGGAAACGAAAGGGAGATGCCAAAACCCTCGCCGGTGCGACAACGAGAAAGAAATCGTCGCTGGTTGGTCGATTGAAATTTGGTTGGAAGATTGACGCGCTGGAGAGAAAACAAATGTCGTGGGATCGCCGAATGAAGAGTGGAGACAACGAAAACAAAACGGGATGCGCTGATCACCGATGAGAGCTTCTTGGGAGCGGCGTTGTGGAGCAAAAATGAAAAAAAGGGAAGAATGAAATAAGGAATTAAAGATCCCATTGATTTCGCTCCTATAATTACGTTAGTGAGAGAATGGATCGTGTGGGTTCCTCCCGAATTTAACCTTTACTAAAATTGGCCCTTAGATTGGATTCACTTAATCTTAATGGCCAATATCTAAGTAGCCACCATGTCAATATCTAAGATTCACTTAATCTTAATCTTGATGTCATGTTAATATGAAAATGTTACTCACGGTTAGGGATGGCAATAAAACCCATGGCCTCGGGTATCCGACCGCCCCCGACCCAGTCAACGCGGGGAATCCCCGCTTTGACCGGGTATGGGGCGGGTATGGGTAAAACCCGCAAAAAGTTTGATGGGTATGGGGCGGGTATGGTTTTGACCTCCCCCGCCCCATACCCATACCCATACCCGCCCCACCAAGAGAATTTCTTCACATATAAAAAAATATGTGGATTAAATTGTAATCTATCAATGGTGATGAGGGTAACTCAAGGAAATAAATAGTAGAAATGCAATTGAGTGACCATTTTAATCAAAATCTAATTCATTTCCCTCAATTCTCCTTTCACTCTTTCACTTTTCCCCTTGTCTACAAGATTATGTTAGTTAATTATTACTTAGTAGTTAGTAGATGTATAAGAGTCAGAAGATAATAATTTGAAAAATATTATACTCTATATTATGTATTAATGGATGTTTTAGGAGCATATACTTTGGACCGTATTAAGAAAATGGTCGTGTTTTGTTGACTTCATGATATAATAGGTTCGTTTAGAGTAATAATTAAAACTTTTCTTGTAAATTTTAGATATAATAATGTTGGATGTATGGGTACGGGTATTACCCATGGGTACCCAAAACCCACGGGTATAGGGATGAGTTTGCAAAACATTTTCCCGCATAAGTATGGGGCGGGTATGGATTTGGATATTTGAAGATGGGGATGGGAATGGTTTAGACAAACCCGCCCCAAACCCGCCCCATTGCCATCCCTACCCACGGTTACTCACACTAAACCTAATCTGCTCCCCTGTTTTGCGCATGGTAAAGGAAACCGGATCGTACCGGCCGGTTGAACCGGTAAAACCGGAAACCGGCGCCTGGCCGATACGGTAGCCATTTTGTAGTAAAGGAGCCGTTCCGGGAGGTTTTTCCGGTAAAACCGGTTTAATTCAAAAAATCGCCCGGTTTTGGTCTAACAGGGGGTAAGCTGCTGGGAAGAGTTGAGCGGCGATCGAGAAGCTATAGGTCGGAGACTTCAACTGGCTGGTGGAAACAGGGGAGATCGGCGGAGACGCAAAGGAGGTCGACGGGATCTGTGAAGCTACCAGTTGTTGTTGATGATGATTTCCTGTTGAGCAATTTCTTCGGGGTGATCGAAAGCGAAACCAGGACCATCGATTTGGGAAGCAGATAAAACGAAGAAAGTGAAGGGGGATTCACAAGTGGGTTTGGAATTGGATTGAAAGAATTTCCAATTCACAATCACAATAGAGAAGAAGAGGATAAAGCTCGACTTTGGATATGGGTACCGGGAAGGCTAAAGCTTCGATCAATCGCATGCAGCTACAAGCTCCCCCTAGCCCAGAGAGGGGGGAACGATTTCTTCTGGTTATTGATGAGAGAGAGAGAGAGAGTAGCGGCCCGGAAGAAACAAAAGGGAAAATGGGGGTTCACGTGTGGTGGGGAATGGTGATTTAGGTTTAGGAATTTATTTAATGCTAAATATATATTTATCTTAAATGTAATTACTAATATGTTACTTAAAAATTAGATTATAAATCAGTCATCAAATTTCTTAGTCATTACATTATATTCATGTATTTTAATTATTATATTGCATAATATTTTATAGTTATATTAAAATAAAAAATTAATTATAATATAATAATGACGCTCTCTCTACGCTCTGAATATGTAGTTAATTCAGTAATGTTGCAGTCAACAGCATTTGAACGATTATGTAGTTAATTCAGTAATGTTGCAGTTTGTTGAATTTTATATTACATATGCTTATTTAGTTTATTAAGGTTTGTTATCCGGTATTATTCCGAAACGGTATCACAAATCTGCCGGTACGGTTTTTTAACAAAAAAAATATTATTTAATTACAAAAACGGTATTTTGCCGGTACAAAACGGTTGAACCACGATAGTACCACAAAATACCCTACCACTGGCGGAGCCGGTATGACTTCCGGTACGGTTTCCTTTACCATGGTTTTGCGACACATTGTTACCCAACAGCTTTCCACGACGCCGTACTGAACAAGAGAAGGTGTCGTTTGGTTCCTTCCTCCCAATTCTCAGTGGCAGTGACCAGTAATTATTCGTCAATACCGCGGCCATTCTCCGAGCGCCCACTCTCTTCCTCCCGCGCGCAGGAAAACACACAGCGGCGGCGAGCCCTCTGCCCTTTCTTGCTTGATCACGCGTTCCTTCACCTCCCCCTACCAATCCATTCTCAAATCTGCGGCTCCCCTCGCAACCCTAGAAATGTCGGGCTCCCATTTCGCCACCGGCGACGCCGTCGAAGTCCTGAAGCGGGACGACGGCAGCGGCGGCGATTCCTTCCAGCTCACTTACTACCCCGCCGCCGTCCGCCGAGCACCCGCCAAGCAGCGGAACAAGATTCTGATCGAGTACCAGACGCTGAAGAACGGGTCGGTACCAGCGAAGGAGCTCGTCGATTGCTGCAGCGTGAGGCCCGCCCCGCCGCCGGACGCTGGGGCATTGTTCAAAGAGGGAACCGACGTAGACGTCTACAGCGAAGGCGGTTGGCACGCAGGGATTGTGAGGGAGATACTTGGGAATTCCAAGTACCTGGTGGCGTTCGCTCGCCGGAGTGAAGGAATCGTGGCGGAGCAGTGCACTCTCAGGCACCATCGGGACTGGATTGGAGGCGATTGGTTCCCGCCTCTACGGCAAGTCCTTCCGTCGGTATGGAAGCTGAGAAAAGTTGCGATCATTTCTAGGGTTTTCCATTGTGTGTGTTTCGATTTTCTGTTACATTGTGCTTAATCTCTGCGGGGATTTTGAACTGCAGAGGAAGCGCTATGTGGAGGAGCCAAAACCTGGGAAGATAAAGCTGAAGATCAAACGCGGAAAAGGGGAAACCGAGATAATGTTGAGAAAAGGGACGAGAATTGAAGTGAAATCTGATGAAGCCGGTTTCCAAGGTTCTTGGTTTGCTGGGATCATAATCGATCTCGAAGGGACGAACAAGTATTTGGTTCAATATCTGAACCTACTAAATGAGGAACAAACTGCTCCATTGAGAGAAGTGGTAAGCGCTGGCAACGTAAGGCCTTGCCCACCTGAAACTCATTCAGGTAACTGTTACAAGTTTCTTGACAAGGTGGATGCTTGGTATAACGAGGGCTGGTGGGAAGGTGTGGTGTTGCGAGTGGATGAGAGATCGAATAAGTGTATGGTCTTTTTCCCATTTACAAAGGACAACGTTTATTTTGAAGCTTCAAGTCTCAGGCGTCATATGGAATGGGTGAATGGGAAATGGGTCAAGGTACGTCAAATGAAGAATGGTCTTCTATACGCATATACTGATTACGGAGCTTCTTTTCTGCATAATGATTTTCATTGTGTTGATATACAGTTTCTTGCTTAATGTGAAAGCAGTTGGGTAGAGGAGAATTAGTTCTTAAGCTGCATTCATCGTATCTTAAAAAGTTAAGCTGCATTCATTCCATTAATGTATGTTTCTCGCAGCTTTCGTGTGCTGTAGTGAAGTTTAGCTGCCAAACAGTTTGTTACCCCATGCTGCTTCTCATTGTAGTCAATTTGTTGATGGGTAGGAGAGATTAAGGTGATTGGTAATTCATTGTATGTTACAAAGGTCAGCTGCATTGGCACAATTTATCTTCTTTCGCAGGAGAAATCTGCGGAGGTCAACCATGAGGTGAGACAGACAGACTCAGACCCCGGTTACAGCAAGGGAGTGAAGGTTGAGGTCAAAACTGATGAAGTTGGTTACCAGGGTGCTTGGTTTGTGGCAACCATTCTCGATGTCCCCAGGAAGGATAGGTATCTGGTGCAATATGACAATCTTCTCGCCAACGATGAAACCAAGTTCCTGGAAGAGGAGGTGGATGCTTCTGACATCCGTCCATGTCCTCCACAGGTGCCAGATATTCACCCTTATGGATTGCTCGATATTGTGGATGCTTGGTGTAATGATGGGTGGTGGGTTGGCTGCATTATCAGAGCTTCTAGAGAGATGAAGTACAGAGTCCAATTTGGGACAGGAGAAGAGTTGGATTTTCAGCATACCCAGCTGAGGCCTCATCAAGAGTGGAGTACTGGAATGTGGTGCTCTGTTCCTAAGGTATCACTTCCTTTCTAACTGTTATATCTTGATGGGTAGTACACTCTTATTCGTTAAGGCCTTAAGGGTGTTGCTCTGATAGCGAGGGGTTCAGATTCGTGTGGTCTGCAGCTAGGAGGGTTATGATTCACTGCACACTGAATCCACATGTGAATCGAGTTGGATTAGATAAATTTTGACTCGAACTCAAAAACAAATTTTGCGTTCGATTCCATTGGATCCCTATAAAAGCAAATAAATGGATGTGACCAACCGAATCAAATCTAAGACACTTTTGACTGTGTTTTTGGCTACATTTCCCCTTTATTTCAATCTGGTTCTATATCAATTAGGTTCAATTCTGGAGCAGATTGAACCCTGCCACCCAAAATGTTTACCTCTCAATTCACTACTATGACTTGGTTTCTTGTTCTAGTTGAACTACTCTAGCTTGTTATTGTCACTTAGCTCTGTCCATCTGTTAGTCTGTTGCATTTTCTTTTGCTGCTGACTTCTTTTGTCTTGGATCAGGATTGGAAGTTTTGATGACTACCCATCTAAAGGAGAGTATATCCAGTTGAAGAATCTAACTCTAGAAAACCAGAAATAGCTCGGAGGATGCGATTGGGTCGGTAGAGAAATAGCCTTCGCAGTAGGGAATCCTACTTCTTTATTTATTTACCTATTTAGTATTTACCAGTAGAAAAGTGGTTACAACCTCTTATCCTCACCTATGCCATACCCCCTCCATTTCCCCATAGTCAGGATATATGTACAAGTAACTGTGGAGACTGTTGCAGAAGAACTGCCTTTAACTTGGACGAGTATAAGAGGTTCCTGTGTATACATTCCTCTGTGTTCATGTTATCTCAGCAAGTTGTTGTCTGAAGTTGACTGTCTTGGTGTTTTCGGAGTTCTAGAGTATCATTTTCGACGAGTCAAGAGGTAACTAGAATGGTTTATCCTCTTTCGATTCGACTGTTTAGCTGGTAATGAGGTTTGCTTTTCCTTTTCCGTTTTCCAGCTGAAGATGATGCGCAACAAAAGAGGAAGAAGACATGATAGTAGAAGATAACACAAGGGATAGGCTACCCGATTCTCTCCCTTCGGCCTCCAATCCCAGCCAGCACATTCTTTTCCCTACATGAGAGTTCCAGAGATGAACAGAACTTCAATGGTTTTATGCATATTAATACTCGTAAATCGTAATCATGTTCATGGGTCTCTTGTGAGGGTTCGAGTGTCCCATTCGTTAAAAAGCCAGTCGGATTCCCGATTTCACCTCCTTCCCCGCAATCACCCACGAACAGGGACAGCGGGAATGGCTTTAGGAAACCCCGTCGGAGTCTTGAATATAGGCGGGTTCGGGCGGGTTCGGACTGGGTTCAATCGGGTTGCGGGTTAGTCGGGTTGTGGGTTCATCGGGTTGCGGGTTCGTCGGTTCGGGTTCAATCGGGTTCGGGTTTAATCGGGTTGCGGGTTAGTCAGGTTGCGGGTTGATTGGGTTCGGGTTCAATCGGGTTACGGGCAAATCGGGTTCGGGTTCATCGGGTTTCGGACCGGGCGGGTTGCGGGCGGATTGGGTTGCGGGTTGTTCGGGTCAATGCATCGAGTTACTTACTCGTTACCAACTTACACATTTTATTACACTAATTTAAAATATTTTTCACGATTTTTAATCATTTTCTTTCTACCTTGTATATATACTTAATTAAGAAAAACTAGTCAAAATCACCACAATCGAAATTTGAAATCTCGCCTTCCCACCACAACTAAAATTGGGCCGCCCAAAATTTCATCATCACCCGCCCACTACAATTATACCAAAAACACAAAACCCTTCTCTGTGCTTGCAAAAAATTGGGCGCCCAAAATTTCATCACACCCGCCCAAAACCAAAATTTCATCACACCCGCCCAAAATTACTTCTTAGTTCTTACACTATCCTCTTCTCCAATAATAAAGTTTATTATTCTAGACAAAAGGTCTTGGTTATTATTTATTATAAATATTAGCATTGTGCTGATTTTATATTTACTTTTTTTTTAATTTTGTTAAAGAAATTCATGTCATAGTTTTTGTAATTAAAAACCATAATTTTAAGTAAATTTCAGATTTTGAACTTTCTTAACTAAATGGGAATGATTTTACTTAGGTTGAGAATGAAAAACTTTATTTTAAAACAATATATTTATTTTAATCAATTTATTTCTACCTCGTATATACATACTTAATTTTTTGAAAAAAACGAGTCAAAATGTTAAATCAATTTGTATGACTTGCAAACTTGTTATGTAATTAATCGTAATTGGTAAAGTACACTAGCTAATAGTAATGGTGATATCAATATTTAAAACCAAAAGATACCATTAATTGATTATTTGATATTTTAGTATTGTTTCAGTAATGTAATTGGATTAAAGTATCTCATTTAGTATAACCATGCAAATGTGGTATTAGGCAAAAGCAGAGTGATAAAAGGAGTTATTTTGAAATAACTCATTGCCCAAATAACTTCAGTAAACTGTTGCCAAACGAGTTATTTGTAAAATTGTTCGAATTATCCTGAAAATTGAACCATTAAAGATTAACTATCAAATCTAGTAAAATTATTGGGACTTCAATCATAACTTGCTTAATAACATATATAATATACACTTAGCCATACCCTCAATCGACAATATTAAGTTAGTATATGTTGTTGATTGTATACCCTAAACCATCAATACATTATACACTAACCACATACCCTATACCCTAACTATATGTCCTTATGACTTGTGATTTTGCTAGTATAGTTAATTTAAAACTGAAATTCATACTTTGATTTTCAAAACATAGATAAAAAGTGATATTTGCTAATTGCTATACCCTAACCATATATCTTATACTCTACATCATATACCTTGTACCCTAACCACGTACCACAAACATAAATTAAAAAGGGATCTCCTGCCGTTAAAGACATCAAATGACTTCAAGTGAACATATGTTAATAAAAAACTTAGAACCGTCAAAACCATCAATATCTTATACCCTAACCATATACTCCCTAAACTATCAGTACCTTATACCATTTACCCTAACCAATATACTTTATACCCTATACAACGAACCGTCAAAGATTACTTATCAAGTTTAGTATAATTGTTGTAACTAATGGTTAATTTATTTATTAGCCCATAAACAATTACATATATATATATATATATATATATATATATATATATATATATATATATGTCTTCAAAGTATAAAAGAATAAATTTAACTAGTCATGCCCTCCATATAAAAATTAAAGATTCATATTTCAAAGGCTAAAATTTTGAAAAATCAAAAAGTTGAAAACACCAAATTTGTTTCATTCTTTCTTTTCACAAAAAAAACACTAAAATTTTCCTCTTTCTTTCTCCTTCCATAAATTAGAAACACTAAATTTCCCTCCTCTTTCTCTTCCATAAAATTGAAAGAACCAAATTTCCCTCTTCTTTACTTCCATAAAAAGTTGAAAACTCAAAATTTCCCTCCTTATTTCTCTTTCATAATCAAAAGAACCAAACTTTCCCACTTCTTTCTATTCCCACAAATCAAAACCACTAAAATCTTCACTTGTTCTTTTCTAAAAAATTCAAAGAACCAAAATTTCCTCTTCTTTCACTTCCCAAAAAGTTGAATACACCAAAATTTTCCTCTTCTTTTAAAAACATCAAATTACCAAATACATTACTTTATTTTATTTATATTTAATTGATAATTTTATTGAATTGTTGACTTAACAAAAATTTTAATTTATATATTATATTAATATTGTCCGTGATCTCAATTATTAATTCTTCATTATTAATATTGACATTATGTTGATTTTATATTAATTTTTTAATTTTGTTAAAGAACTTAGTGTTCAAGTGACCTTCATGTTTCAATTTTTGTAATTTTCTTAAAATACATAATATCAAGTGAGTTTCATATATTTTAAATTCCCTATACGAAATGAAAAAAATAATTTTACCTAAGTTTAGAATGAAAAACTTTATTTTGAAAAACTATGTATTGTATATTATAATAATTATTTAAGTGGACTAAGTGAGGTTCGGGTTGAGTCGGTCGGGTTACGGGTTAGTCGGGTTCGGGTTAATTGGGTTGCGGGTCAGTCGGGTTGCGGGTCAATCGGGTTCAGGTTAATCGGGTTGCAGGTCAATCGGGTTGCGGGTCGGGCGGGTTACGGGTTGTTGACTTTTAGTCAATTCGAGTTGCAATCGGGTTGCGGGTCGGATTGATCGGGCGAGTTAATCGGGTCGGGCTATGTTTTGACACCTATAGTCTTGAACATGATAATTGTGTGGAACAACAACCATTAAGTTAGATGTTGCTTACATGACAATTCTAAGAAGTAATAACTAGATTTGCGAATTTTTATTTAATTATGAGAGCGAATAGGGTAAAAACATATCATACAAAATCACTACAAAATTTATTTTAGATTTGTCCATTTTAAGCACATCTTAGGGTGCAAAATGGCTAAAAATCAATAAACATAAGAAGGGGTTGGACTAGTAATTCCGCACCCCTTAGTTTTTTTACTGATACGGATCCAGTTAAAACTTACTTTTTCTAATCCATATTGTCCTTAATCAGATCCTATCTCATACTTATTAATTCAAAACAATAAAACAAATTACATAGAACATTAATTATGATATTGACAATGATATTTTTCCCCTATCATGATGTTGTTTTTAAGTGGTAGTGTTTGTTTAATAGATTGGTATTATTTTCTTATTTTATTTTGCAGTGGTATTAGTTCGACTGAACGGAAATAAGAAAAAATTGAGAAAAAGAAGACAGAGGTGGCTAAAGATCTGGAGAAGTCAGAAAGAGGGAGAGAGAAAAATTTAGCTAATATGTTTTTGTAATTTCCTAAAACGTACATGGTGGCTACTACATGGTATTATGGTAATCATCATAACCGCTCCCGCTAATAAGGGGCGGAGGGAGAAGGATAGAGGGTGGGTCCCGGGCTCAGGAGATAAAATGATATATTATGTATAATAGGTAATCGGGTATGAAAAATAACACTTATTTAAATAAGAATTGTTGATATTTGAAATATTTGATGTATAATATATACGTTGCTTATTGGCATATTCAATATTTTATAACGAGCAAGGTGCAAATGACAATGGTGCATATGATCCGCCCAAAATTAAAGATGTACTTATTCAATATCTACAACAAAATTCCACCAAATCATTGCTAGTTTGTAAAAATAATTGTATTTCAATCAAGGATAGGGAGAGTGTAACGGGTGGCTCTAAGGACGAAAATGAATAAATAAGTATAATAGTTAATTAAGAATGAAATTTAGGGCACTTCTAAATGAGCATGGTTGATCGATTCCGAATCTTGGCGCCCAATTTGTTAAGCACATGATGTTCGAATTTCATTCATAACCGCTCCCGCTAATAAGGGGCGGAGGGAGAAGTTAGAGGGTGGGTCTCGGGCTCAGGAGATAAAATGATATATTATGTATAATAGTTAATCGGGTATGAAAAATAGCCCTTATTTAAATAAGAATTGTTGATATTTGAAATATTTGATGTATAATATATACGTTGCGTATTGGCATATTCAATGTTTATAACGAGCTACGTGCAAATAACAATGGTGCATATGATCCGCCCAAAAGTAAAGATGTACTTATTCAATATCTACAACAAATTTCCACCAAATCATTGCTAGTTTGTAAAAATAATTGTATTTCAATCAAGGATAGGGAGAGTGTAACGGGTGGGTCTAAAGGACGAAAATGAATAAATAAGTATAATAGTTAATTAAGAATAAAATTTAGGGCACTTCTAAATGAGCATGGTTGACCGATTCCGAATCTTGACGACCCAATTTGTTAAGCACATGATGTTCGAATTTGCGAAAACTTTAAGCAGGTATAAGTTGATTTTAGCTAGCAGGGAAGTGTTAGTAAACACTAAATACTATAAGATCCATTATTAAATCTAACCTAGCAAACTTGAGTTATTGATGCTAAACAGTCTTGACAAAGGACACCATTTAAAAGCAAATGTCTAACTAAATCATAAATAATTGTTTGATACATATGAAATGATATTCTTGATAGTTTTGACATTTATTTAATTTATCATATTTTTTTAAATACAAAATTATATTATGAATAATTTAGAAAGCTAACAAAACTATTTTACCGTAAGTGCTTTTTTTCTAAATGGATGCACCCTCGAGAAAATCCTGGCTACGCCCCTGACGCTTATGTCAACATCTAGAAAAGACACATCTCCATAATCATATGCATCATCATTTATATTCCATATGGAGCAACTAGTTGGTCATTATCCCAT